TCTGTGTAATTATTATTGGCAAACATGGCCAGACTCTTACTCTTTGTGACTATGTAGTTCCACACTGATGGATATTTATTTAAACTCCTGGAACCTATTTTTAATCTCATTTTCTCGTCTCTTTGTTCTTCTCTTTTTTCTTTTTGTTTTTTATTTTTTAACATCTATTTCATTTTTTTACTATGATGTAGACAAATATCAAAAAAATTTTTTTGATAAGTTTATTATTTGAGTTCTGATCTATCCGTTGAGACTGGCTTTCTAGTTATATTTGATTATTTGGGTGATTTTAAGTATATCTTTTAAATTGTATTAGCATATTTCTAAGGAATTACATTATTATTTGATGATTACTTCATGCTGCTTTGCAAAGATTCATGAATTTTACATTCATAAATGTAGTATTTAACTTTAAGCAAATAGTGGTAGTGAAATTAATGGAAAATTTGTCATTCTTTCTCAGTTCTTCTGATTAATAGGAGTAATGGTCATTGTTAGCGTACACAGGACTGAAAATAAAGGGAGCCTTTATGTTAAGTTTGGAGAGCCTTTCCAGAATAAGAAGTTGAGTGTTAGCAAGAGCATCTGGCAAAATTCCAACCTGTGCTTTCAGTTAGAAATAGTTCTCTTTGCTCTGAATACTGAACTATTAAGTGCTGTGGCTTACTGAATTCTTTGTTAGACAATAGTGAATTTCAGTGGTTTCCAAGTGCTTTTGGGCATGAAGTTTGGAAAACTCTTTGTAATTCTTTGCATGAATTCTTATATCAATAAGGCATGAGATTTTAATTTTTTAATTTAAAATTTTTATTGTGGTTTTAAAAAACTTCATACCTTTGCTTAGCATTATTGTTACTGAATTTGAAGATTTTTTTTTTTTGCCACAAATGATGGCAAACAGTTCTATTCTTCTGAGTAATTAAAGCAAGATAATGTAGTTACTGAAAAAGTGAAACTGGAATATATTTATAATTATACTTTTACCTTTTTCTTAAGATTCCCTTGTTATGCTACGACCAGATAATAATCACCAGTGGATGTTCAACAGGAACTGTTTTCCTATTGTGGATGTCGTGGTAGATCCTCACCTTGTGTATCACCTTCGACCACATCAGAAAGAAGGAATCATATTCCTCTATGAATGTGTGATGGGAATGAGGTAGGAGAGTAAATAATTTGTTTGGTCTAATCCGAGTTCTGATTTAACCTGTAACATAATGGTTTTCTAGTAAGAGCCTGGCATATTACGTCTTTGTGAGCACATCATGAATGTTAGTTGGTAGGAATGGCAAATGGTACTAAATGTGTGCATTTATTCCAAAAGTGGATCTTGATGGATGCTGTGTGCCAGACATCTTGCTAGGACCTGGGCATCCTCCTTTTGAGGATTTTGGAAAAAGATTTTCTTCTTATCTCAACTCTACTTAAAAAAAGAAAAAAGAGTCCCTTCCCTTTTAAAATTGAGTTTTCTTAAAGAATTGTAGTTGAAGTACAATTGAAGCAGAAGACACACAGATTCATACGAGCCAGACAAAGAGGGTGAAAACAAATCAAATGTCTCTGCTAAGCTCTTAGTGCATTTCCTTCCAGGCCTTTTTTTGTTTTGTTTTTCACGCATAGGTCCTTGGTTTTTATATGTCATTTATTAGGAAGTTGGGTATGTAAATTCCCCCAAATCTAAAAGTCCCTTGAATGCTGACAGGTTAAGGGAATATTATCTCCTGGAAACTTTATAGATTTGTTCTCTCTTGAATCTGCTCTTCTTTTTTGAAGATCATACCATTTTTGATTTCTTCTCTCTCACCTTCTCTATCTAACCAAACTTGAGCTTTTAATTATTTTGATCTCCTAAATAGCATTTGGTTCCTAATCTTTCCTGGCACCTCACGGTAGCAGCTCTCGTCACTGATGTCATAAAATTATTCCTTGTCTGGACTATTGCAGTGGCTCCTAACTTGTGTATCTGCTTCTGATGCTCCTCAAATCCATTCTGCTTATCACCACCAGTTTGATTTTTCTGAAAACAGTTCTGAACATGACACTTCCTTGCTTAAAATCATTACAGCTCTCAGAACTTGGAGCCATTGTGATATGGGTGGTGTGTGGCATCATTTTAGGTGTATATGGACAAACCTTATTTTTAACCTTTAATAGTAGCATATTCAGTTGATGAATAATTAGAGAAAAATTAGCACATTAAACTTTTGGTTTCACAGCTAAATTATCTTAGAAATGATTTTCTTTTCCAATAAATCTAAGTAAAATGAGTTAATTTAAAGAAAAATAATAAATATATAACAACAAATATAGTATCACATATATGGCAAAAAATTGTGATGGTAGTCATGAAAGACTAATGTTTGGGAGATGCTGACCTACAAGATACAGGCTGAGGTTTCAAGGGTAAGTACCCTCACCTTCTGTCTTCTGCCTGTCTCTCCAGCTTCCTACCCTTGTATTTCCTTGCTAGGAATTCAGCTCAAGCTTTAACTCTATTGATCTGTCCAATCAATGTAGTGAGTTCCTATTTACCTTTAAAAATATGCTCCAGGTTCATCTTTCGCTGAGGACTTCCTGCTCTCTTCCCTCCACCATGTAAGGACGGGTCACTGTTTTCTGTCTGCCACTCACTGTGTCTCCATTAGCCGGAATCTTGCAGTGGCAAATTGTTGATCTAAAATAATAATGGTGGCTCTAACTGATGTTTATAATTTTTTCTCTACCCATTGAGATGGAAAACATGTGTAAAATTGTTTTTGGTTATTATTCCCACTAATAAGAAATAGGATGGATTAAGAAACTACACTTATATTTTTGATATTATCCTGATTAGTTCCTTTGGACTTTATAACTTAAAATGTATATCTCATACATATCAAAGAGATGTAAAAGCTATGAAGTGGTATAAATATGACTTTCTAATAATACTCCTTATAATATTTAATTTTAAATTACGTTAACCAAGTAGGTTTGTAAGGTAAGATTTTTACTAAATTACATGTATTAGATCAAACAGTTAGTGTTTGGTTTTTCTTAAAGTGAAAGGAGCTATTTTGGTTGAGGACTTCATTTACTGCTAGAGAATCATAAATACAGATTGATAGATCTTTCTAGCTGATCTTACAATATATTTAAACTGTCTCAATATCTAATACTGAAACTGATAAAAACTGCCCAGCTGTTAGTGCTGAGAAGCATGGTTATAGTTAAATTACTCAAAATAGATACAAAATTGGGGTTCATTTCTAGTCTCTAAATACATATACATGATAATAACAGATGATTTAGGTTTAACTCTCTAATCTCAATTTGTTTCAGTAATTTAGTTGATAATAAATATAGTATGAATATAATTATCAAAGATGCAAGAGAGAGGTATGTTAGAAATCAGTTGAATGAAGAGCTAGAAAACGTATTTAGTGGGGGCTAGAATTCATCCTAATTATAAAATATTAGCTTCTGGTTCTTGACTAATAGGTGACAATGTTAGGAGAGTAAAATATTTTCCTCCTGTGATTAAAGGAGGTATAATTGTTTCTAACAGGGTGAATGGCAGATATGGAGCTATTCTTGCTGATGAAATGGGTTTAGGGAAAACACTGCAATGTATTTCGCTCATCTGGACGCTACAGTGTCAGGGACCCTATGGTGGCAAGCCAGTAATAAAGAAGACACTTATTGTCACACCTGGAAGCTTGGTGAATAACTGGAGGAAAGAATTTCAAAAATGGCTAGGAATAGAAAGGATCAAGGTATTTACTGTTGATCAGGTAAGAGAATTTTGAAAGTTTGGCCTTGGTCATTTTTTTAAATCGCTAGCCTTCCAAATCAGTACTACGGTTTTCACTCTCTGTGCAGCAGTTTTTCAAGTGTATGTAACACTTCGCAGGTAAATGGAATCGCCCTATAATTTGGTTGAGTTAACATATTTTAATACTTCGCTAATGGTTGTCAGGAATATGCTGCTTAAATTTGATTCCACACAGTTTCTGCCAGTGATTTTTTAAATATTATCTTTTTTTTTTTAGGACCACAAAGTAGATGAATTCGCCAAATCTCCATTTTATTCTGTTCTTATCATCAGTTATGAAATGTTACTTCGATCCCTGGATCAAATTAAGAGTATAAAATTTGATCTTCTAATTTGTGATGAGGGGCATCGTTTGAAGAACAGCGCCATTAAGACAACTACAGCCCTCATTAGCCTCTCTTGTGAGAAAAGAATAATTCTAACTGGTCAGTAGTTACTTTTGGAAAGATGTTATTTTTGCCTTGTGAATAGGCAGAACTTGTAGTATGACATTTGGCATCCAAAGAATTGATGGTGATGGATGGAACTCATACTAATAAAGCTGTGTTAGTTGAGTCTTGGTAGGATTCTGAATGATCAAATCCCTCTGTAATGTTCTACAACCCAGATTTTGGGTTTTTTGAGGAGTAAACACAATGGTATTGTGGTGAAAACGTAGGAGGTGGGGTTGGACTGCCTGTGCTTCCAAGTCTGACATTTACAGCTGTGCACCTTTGTGTGAGTTCTACTTCTCTGTACCTTAGTTTCCTTATGTGTGAAATGGGGATCTTAGGGTTCTTGTGGGGCCACAAGTGAATCCACGTGAAGTTCTTAGAAGATTACCTGACACATGGTAAGTATTTAACATAAATATCCATTATTTCTCTATGTTTGTGCTGTATGCATACAGATTATTGCTGGCCGAAGCTTCTGGCCCAGACTGTCTGGAAAGGTGGGACTGACTGTGTATAAATACATGAATCCTTTTCTGCCCACTCCTTTTTACCTTAAGGCCGAGACTAGAATTAGGCCTATATAGCTCAGTGTAGCTTTTCTCCCACACCTTGCTTTGGGGTGAGAAATTAAGATTACTTTTAGGTAATAATAATAGAAAAATAGTAGATTCTCCTCTATTTGAAAATCAGATGATGTCCTTTAGCAGAAATGGACAGTTTTACTAATATTCTCAATTATAAGCAAATATCAATTCAACTAGCATTAAATTAAATTTAATATTTTTAGTAGAAAATGATTGTGGGTCGTCATTCAGAAGGACCCTCCTGATGGTGACTAGTGAGATCATTTCCTTTGAGGGGTTAGCGTCACCTCCTTTATTCTTTTGCTCGTTTCTGCTTTCCTGTCCTTGTTGCTGCTGCATCTGAACTGTGAATTTAGGTGAAAACCGGCACTAATCACCTCTTACATTTAGACATGCTTATAGTTGGTTTTTATCTCCTTAGAATTGCCTGAGTAAAGTCTCCCCTTTTGTAGTGGTAGGACATCTCACTCCCAAGATGGTTTGTTTCTTATTATGGAAGTAACATTTGTTTTTGAGTACATGCGGTGCTGTGTGCTTAATAGGTGCTCAAAGACTAAGAATCAAAGGAAGTAATTTGGTTTTGCTTTCTACCGTAACAAAATACCACGGGCTGGGTGGTAAACTTCTTTGACAGCACAAATGTGTTTTGTCACAGTTCTGGAGACTGGAAGTCCAGCATCAAGGTGTCAGCAAGTTTGGTTTCTCCTGAGGCCTCTCTCCTTGATTTGCAGATGACCACCTGCTTGCTGCGTCCCCTCTGTGTGTGCATCCCTGTGTCTTTCTGTCTTCTTGAAAGGATAGTCATCATATTGGATTAGGGCCCCAGCCTTACGAACATCTTTAATCTTAGTTACCTCCTTAAACGCCCTGTCTGTAAATACAGTTACATTGGGAATTTGGGCTTCAACAGATGAATTTTGAGGGGACACAGTTCAGTCCACAGCATCTTGTTATAAGATGTCAGATATTCTTTCATCATATTATAAAAAAGAAAAATCTGAGTGAGATTCGAAGCAAAATTCTCATTAAATATCTACCACACACACAGACACATACATGGATACATACACATATAGCTATATTATAGCATGCTTAGAAACTAGAGAATGGAAATCACCCTCCAATTTCAATTTCTTAATTAACTTAGCATTTTGTCATGTTTTGTTATTCACACACACACACTCACAGAAGAAACATGCATGTGTCTTTATTCTTTATATATACACACACAAAATACATCTTTATTCATACACGCACGTATGCACATCAAAATACACTCAATGTAAACATTTTCCTATGACGTTGCATAATTTTGAAATGTGATGAGTATCTATCAGCATGTAATTTTTCTGTATAGACTCCTAGAAGTGAAATTACAGGACTAGAGGAAAGGTGCATGCATGAGTATGTGTGAAGAGCTCTTGGAGCTTTTCATGGAGGTAATAGACGAGGATACAGGTGTAGTTATTGGCAGTGTTCCGTACTTGGGTTGGGTGGTAGACTGATGTCTCCTTAAAAAGTAAACAGTAAAACAAAGAAAAAGCTTTTATTGCTGGGATGGAGGTAGGGAAAGAGAGTTCTCTCAATTTCCCTTAGAAGTTCCACTTCCATAGCCCTGAAAGTAGTTTTAGTGAACATACCAACTTTACTTGACAGTCTTCAGTATTTCCTTTTTTCTTGTCACAGGACATTGCTGCTCGACTTTTATTAATATTAAATTATTTAGCTTCTTCTACAGGTTCTACTTAGTCTAGAATTAGAAAAGAATACTAGAAGCAGTGAACTGGGGACTAGACAACTTCCTGATACTTGTGACAACTTCTCAGACTGACACTATGCTAGTGTATCGGCTCTCTTGTAGCCACATGCCCCTTCTCTTCTTTTCTTTTCCTTCTTTTTTTCTTTTTCCTTATTTTCTGTCCTAAATCCTTTTTCTTTTCCCCTTCTTTTTTTTTTACAAGTTCTTTT